CACACACATCCCCAATGCTGAGCTGCTACCCCTCCCCCAACTTGCGACTCTGCCCAACGATCACTGAGCTGCTATCCCCTGCCCTAGGACTCTGTCCATCCTCGTCACTGAGCTGCTACCTGCTTCTGTAGGACTGCTCACTCAACCCACATCCCCAACACTGAGCTGGTACTCCCTGCCCTGGGACTATATCCCACCCCCCATCCTCAGCACTGAGCTGGTACCCACCCTTTCCCTTGGCACTGACTTGCTACCCCTCCCTGTGCAGTGTTGAACCTACCCTGTAACCATACAGTGCTGTTCATGCCTTGCATTCCTACAGCATTACACTTGCTCCCATCATCTGCATCGTATTGTGTCCTGCATACGTCCATCTCATCAAATAATGTATGTCAGTCTGTTTTTCTCAGTTATTAAACCATGTAAAGTAAGTGAACTGAAGATGCAGCAGATGCATGTTATGTACAGGGAGAAATGATGCTGGAGAGGAGACAACCCCAGCACTAATGAACTTCTAATGTTTGGGTTTTTTTTTTTTTTTTTTTTTTTTGTCCCATAGATCTAACTGGCTTTACCCAGACAATGATCCCAAAGACTATATGATAATTGCTGGTGGCTGAGAGAGAGAGAGAAGGCATTTTGGGGACTGTATTGAAGCAGAACAGGGGAGCAGGAGGGTGAAATCATCCTGCCTGCTCCTCCAGCAGTGGCAGCTCTGCAACTGGTGTGTGCAGTACATTTTCAGCAGTAGCAAAATACTAGTTTGCAGGAAGCAGCCAGTTCAACAGCAGGACCTGAGGTACTCCAGAGACAAGAGAAGAAGCAGCACCAGCATGGATAAGGACAGCATGAGCCTAGCTGACCAGCAGTATGAATGTGTGGCTGAGATTGGTGAAGGAGCCTATGGGAAGGTATTCAAGGCCCGAGACTTGAAGCATGGAGGTCGTTTTGTAGCCTTGAAGCGCGTGCGGGTGCAGACAAGCGAGGAGGGAATGCCACTCTCCACCATCCGTGAGGTGGCAGTATTGAGGCACCTGGAGACCTTTGAGCACCCCAATGTGGTCAGGTGAGGCGCTGGAGTGGGACCCATGGTCAGCTGAGTTCTAGTTTTGGTACATGGTACAAGGGTGGATTGGACACCAAGTTGAGTATATGGATGGAATGAGCACTAAATTGATACATGGAGTGTGGTATGAGGTTTTGGCAGGCAAGCATGCTGCCTGCCTGATCTCACCTCATCTTTTTGCTCTGCCTCCCACGTACAGGCACCCATCTCCAGAGGCATAGGTGTGTGACATAAGTGTTTGAGTGAATGGGCAAGGAGCCATATATACCCTTTGATCTCCACAGGCACAAGAAGAGGGAATGAAAAGAGAGAACTCTTTTGTCTTGCATATCCACTCTGCCCAACACAGCTGATTTCTGGCAGACCTATTCATTATGAAAGTGGCAGTGGATAATGTAATGTTCCCACCAACTTTAGACAAGGAGTGGGAATTTGTAGGGTTCTAGTTCAGTGTGTTAAGCATAAGCAGGAGAAGTGACCACTTAGGACCGCATTTGTGGGGCCTTGTACCAACAGATACAGAAATACAATTTGCAAGCCCTACTTCCAAAGTGTCAAGAAAAGTCACAATAAGGAAATCCTTGTACTAGTAATTCTGAATACCCAAACCTAAGTTTTTGAACAAAGGCTGCCTCTGTTATAAGCCTTTATATCTTTACATATTCAACTTTGTGCTTATATAATGTATAGGTCAGTTTTAAGTGGCTTATTAATCCTTGCAGGTTGTGCCCAGGGATGCTGGAAAACTTGAAGAAACTTAGAGGGAATTTTGCTAGGAATGTTTGTGAAGCATTGTAGGAACTGTCCTCTACTGTGTAATTGATTTACTAGTAAATGGTTATACATTTTAAACTTATTGCTGATTTCGGTTTGTCCTGCAATCACGCAGAGAGTTTTGGAAAATTCTTTTGAGCTATTTCTTTCAAATATGTAGAATTCTTTGTTCATCATTAATCTTACTTTATGAATTTTAACAAATGGACAGTTTTATAGCAGGTGTACCTTTACATGACAATGTAAAACTTCACTGATCTGCAGTTTAGGGGAGCATGTAACATTAACAAAAGCACCTCCAATATTTGTGCATCAGTTCAAATAATGCAACATTAGACAGCAAAATGAAGACAGTTCGTACTTTTGTGACACCAAATCTCTTATAGGCCTGGGAAGCTAAAGTACAAGTTGAAGTACATGCTGTGAGCCATGTGCCCATTTTAGGGTCTGGAGTTGAGGTTCTATGTTGGAGCTGCAACAGGAGAAGGGAGATTGGGAGTAATTTTTTAAAATGCAAAGATAAATGGATAGAGAAACTCTCATTCTCTTTCTTTTCCAGACATTGTGGCAGTAGAGTCTTATTACTCCAAGGACTGGGTAGGCAAAGGTTTTACATTCTATAAATAGCTTAGAAAACAATGTCTTTTTTTTAAAGTGGGAGGAGTGCTTTACCTTATTGTGTGTCTTTTAGATCTCAACTGGACTCCAAGCAGAGACCTCACTGAGGTTAGTGGTGTGGTGTAGACTGGAGTTCACAACTTTGCTGTTTCTGTTGTTTGGATAGAGACAGTTTTTTGATGGCCATCTAGTAATACAGAGGACTAGAAACTTAGTCTAAAATTTTCAGATGTAGGTGTTTAAGGTTGGGCAGCATATTCATATTTAGGCACTGAAACAAGTGGCTTGATTTAGAGGCGCTGTCTGAGCGGACGCTGTTTCTGTTGACACTAGAAGGAGTTGGGGGTGGTCAGAACTTCTGAAATTCAAGCCACTTATTTTGGTGCCTAAGTACGGATTTAGTTGCCTAGTTTTAGACACTCTCCATTTGAAACTTTTGACCTTTATTTGTTTAAATGAAAGCCTAGATTGTGTAGAAAAAACTAAAATCCTGGAAATACTTAAATATAAGATATACCTGTGGCATTTTTGTCCCTACTGGGATCACTCCATATACAGTGATCCAGTAAGAGGCTCTGTTCTTGAATCCTCCACTTTTCATGAACACTTTAAATTCAGCAAAAACACAAAGAACAAACGTGTTAGTCTGTATCCGCAAAAAGAACAGGAGTACTTGTGGCACCTTAGAGACTAACAAATTTAGTCTGTGTGATATGTAGATTAAATTTGTTAGTCTCTAAGGTGCCACAAGTACTCCTGTTCTTTTTACAAAGAACAAAATGTCTGAAAAGAGCATGCAAATACAGACATGTTTTGCTCAAATTAAAATGCAGAGCAGCCTCTATTTGGTATTTTACAGGTATATCACAAGTTAAAATATTTATTATAAGATCAAATGAATAATTCATTATCTCCAAGCAACAAGTACTTAACCACGGACTTTTGAATATTTAGTTTTAATAGAAATTTATCTGGAAGAATGTTCCAGGACTTAATTATGTTTTCTTGAAGCCTGCAGTGCTTGCCACAGTCAGCATTTCAGATGCGACAGGTTGGGTCATTATGTACCAGTGAGTCTGGCACCTCTGCAGTGCACCTTCTTTCCATCTGTGAGAGTAGAAAATAAAAAGCAAGTTCAAGCAGTAGCTCTTCTGGGATGGGAGAAATTCGATTTAAAAGCATACCTCTGTTGTTTTCACTGGTATCTTTTGAGTAGGTGAAGTTTTAAGTATCATTTTGGAGTGTTTTAAATAATTTTTTTTTAATGAAGACTGACTTGTTTGTATAGGAAGGAGCAAAGATTTAAATGTTTTGATTCCTTTACCAAGCACAGTAGAGGATCTTATAATTTCTTGAGATTAAAGGATTACTTTTGTTTATTATGTAAATATACCCGGAAAAAGAAATGCTGTATATGAAGATCTGTAGTTTCACTCCATTGACCTATCTGCACACAGTTATTAAATGTATTTTGTTCATTACAAATGTTTATTATGTGAGTAACCAGCCTAGAAATTGCAGCCTTGTCAGTATTAGTGAATTAAGGTAGTGAAAAATGCAGCATTTTAACACTAAGATAAAAGATGCATCATTATCAGATAACTAGAATAAAAATTAAAATAGCATTTAAAATGAAGTATTGTTGTGAAGGGCAACAGAGGGTCCTGTGGCACCTTTAAGACTAACAGAAGTATAGGGAGCAT